AAGATGACCAGAGACAAGGAGAAGAAGAAGGAAACAAAAAAAAATCTGCCAAAACCTGAAAACTCCATTTCTTTGGGTGGGGTGGGGATTGAGGTACTGCCAGTCAAGATAAAAATTTTAATTTCTCAGCCAACATTTCTAAGGACAGATTATTTACTTGCTATCTCCCAGCGCCCCCTTTTCATCTAAATGGCCGTCCTCTAACATGCATGCAAATACATATAGGGGCCCAGTTTGCTTTGAGCACCAGGAACATCTCGTTCATTTTCAACACGATACAGGCTAAATCATAATGAACAATCCTCGGATACAATACAAATGAAAAATTATCGAATAAAAATAAGAAAGTTTACAATAAAAATAAGAAAAGCAACAATACAAATAAGAAATTATATAATATAAATAAAAAATTATTTTTTACAATACAAATGGAAACTATGGAAAATTATAAAATTCAAATGGAAAATTAATATTAAATTATAGAATACAAATTGAAAATTATAGAATACAAATAAAAATTATACAATAAAAATGGAAAATTTTACAATGCAAATAGAATAGATTGAATATTGCAGCGTTTGACTTGCCATAATAATTTTTAAAATGAAATGTATATTAACTAAGTACTGCAAAAATTATTTTTTGGCTTTGATTTAGCAAAAATTATAAATTAAATATATATATATATATATATATATATATATATATATATATATATATATATATATATATATATATGGGGGGGGGGGGGGTGAAAGGATGAAAATGTGCGTCATATGAGACACAGTCCTGTCTACCAGTACCCTTAGGCAGGAGTAATGAATTTCAGTTTTTGTATATATACCGTGGCACAATTTGGCCTAGCAAACTGTTTACAGTTAAACATTTTTTTCTAAATTATTTCTGTCTCAATGAAAAGTCTGTTTATCACAGCAAGAGTTCCAAATCCTCTAAATGGTGCGATTATTCGATGCAACTTTTCATTTACGATTTCCATTCGACTGTTCAATTTTCCTTTTGAATTTCGAATTGGCTGAAAGTTGCAACACAACTCGATTTTATCAAATGCAAATCGGATAAAAAAAATACCTTCGTTTTACCACATCCATCTTCACATATGAGTAGAGCCACGGGTTTTGTGTCCATTCTTCTTCAACAAACGTTTGTGGAAAAAAAAAATAGATACAAAACCCGTGACTTGCGACGATGGACCACATCTTAGGATTTTAATGGAGATTTTTTTTTTTTGTTCTATGAATGCCTCTCGTCTCCGTAAAGAGAGTTTAAATTAATATAAAAATCTTATCAATAAATTGCATACTTTGTACCACTTTACAGCTCTTGTGGTGCAGAGTCAGGAATTTTAATTAAATGTATATCTGGCCATTGCTAACAAATGTTTTCCTCTCCTAACCCAGCTGGAATAGTGCGAAAAGGGGTTGAATCTCATTGTACATTTTTGTATCTAAATCAAGGATGCTATTTGGTAATATTTCTTGCTGTATTCTGGAACAGAACTTAACAATTAAAGAGGCTGGGGGGTTGTGGCCATTTTTAGACTATATTGATCTTCTTTAGAAGAAGAGCTCCATATGAAGATATAGAAAATGATCAAATTTTAAAACTAAAATTTTTTTTTGCCAAATGATAGTTGACAGCTTAAGATATCATATCTAAAAAATTAAGTTAAATCTGGTGGTTAATTTGTTGACCCCCCAGCCTCCTTAAAAAGATTTGTTAACACATACAGACGGACAATGCTTGAAGAGACGTCGTCATTCTATAGTCCGGTTTTCTTCGTAAAATTAAGAAAGATATAAAAACAAAAGGCGAGAAAAACCCGGAAACGACCCTGATTTTATCGTAGTAAATATGTGTGATGATGCAGGCAAATACGTGACACTTTTAAAGAGGCTGGGAGGTCAACAAATTAACCACAAATTAACGACCAGATTTAACTAAATAATAACTTTTTTGGTCAAATTAGTTAGGGCGGATGTAATTTTTCCACTCCCAGAATACCTTATAGCTATAATTTCAGAAAATGCTTTTCCTTCTATATTTTTTAAGTTTCAACGTGGCCGGAAAGTTGTTTCTTTGTTGTTACTTTAAGCTTTACAGCTTATCAGTATATTATATACAATCAAATACAATCAGAAACAGTACAGAAGTGGGTAATTTACATGAGAACAATGGCCGGAAAGTTGACACTTAATCCATCCAAAGATAATTTCCACTGGGGAGATGGTGTAAATTACATAATAGATGTCAAGTATTGAAGCTAAAATGAAAACAGGTCTTAGATAATTGAACCATATCAATCAGGAATAGGATAATTAAATGATTGTTACTCAAAAAAAATTTTAAAAAAAATACTGTCATTAATTTAACGCAAAAATTACTCACGATTACATGCACTGACAATGTTACATAAAAGATACAAAGTCAGGTTCTTCGTAGAAAATATTTCACATTCAGGCGACTGGTATGATTTTTTTTATTTTAAAATTCACAATTTTATCTGCATAACGCTACTCCCATGTGATGACCCCAAAACACATTGGCTGAACTTTTGTTATAAAAATTCATATATACTGTCATGTATTTTTATTTATATTTTTCCAGGTAGCAGTAAATAGAAACATTACATGACAATGCTTAAAAGAAACAAATAAGTGTATACATGGTATATATTGTGCGTACATTATTTACTTTTTGATATAATGTAGTACATTCCCTTTTCTATTCTATTCGGTAAAAGAGGCTTAATCCCAATGGACAAAAGGAACGTTTATATAACAATTTATCACCGACATTTTTCATTGATCACAGAACTCGGTGCATTTTAACTTAAAACGTGACAATCAATCCTTACAGGTGTGGACCCAGGAAATCTTTCGATGGGGAGGGGGGGGGGGGTCCACCCCAGTCAAAAAAAAATTTCCAACCAAGAAAATTTCTTGACAAGCAAAAAAAAAAAAAAATAAAATAAAATAAAATAAAATAAGATAAAATAAAAAATAAGTAAAGTCCATTCACAAACGTGAAAAACGCCTATGTCGTGGTGGTGGGGTCCAGTCCATTTTTCTAGGGTACACACCCCCCACACCCCCCCATATATATATATATATATATATATATATATATATATATATATATATATATATATATATATATATATATATATATATAAAAATACAATAATTCTGCAAATTCCGGGGGGGGGGGGGGGGGGGCTGACACCCCTCCCTCTAGATCCGCGCATGCCATACTTGATAATTCACGAGGAATCGTTAAACAAAATGATAAATCACCACGAAACACTTCTTTTTCTTAGTTTTGTTAAATATTTGGTGCCATCCAAAAAGTTGTTAAAAGGAATTTCTCATTACTACATGTATTTACATGTATTCATTTTCTTAAAAATTCATTTTCAGATTTTTGGACTGTAAAACAAAACCACGAAGATGGCATACTTGCCATTACTGAGATTAGCCATCCTCGAAGGAATCGACTTGTCTTTGGATTGGACTTTTCTGGTCGACCTGTCAACCCGAAGCGACCTTGAACCTTATTTCCACCTCGTCCTGGTTTTCTGTGTTATAGGATCGGTGACCTTCATTTTAGAAATTTACCTGAAGCACATTGAAATTTCAAAAGCTGAAAGTCATTTTAATCCAGATGTATTTTCTGCTGCCACGACTTGGCTAGAAGATATCCCCCAGATCGCCATAGCTGTCTGTATAGTAATGATAGTGAACTCGCACCTGTCGCTGATACAGTACATTAAGGTGGTCTATGCCATTTTCGAGGCCGTGATCAGACTGGGCACATTGTACTGCCGCGACAACCATGAAGGAATATGGACAAAATGTATTTTTATCAGTAATTTTTTCTGCTTCATTGTTATATTTTCCTGTTCTTTGGTAATTTTAGCTGCAATTTTTCAGTAATTTTTCTATCCACTATGCATGCAATACGATGTGATTAAACGGAATGTTAAATAATCTCTGTTGTTTTAGTTATAGTGATGTGGATATTGATGGTGAAATGATAGTTGTGGTAATGAAATTCAAACATAACAAAAATGGATTTACTCCAGGCATAATAATTGTATGGAGCTTTTCTTCTTTAAAAAAAGGGGGGGGGGGAGAAAGAAATTTGTTTGACTTGATGAAGCTTATATATCTGGCTAAAATTTAATCATAAACTTGTAAAACCAACGTTAACAAGGTTGGCATTATATAAGAGATGGTACATAAAAAATTAACCCCCCCCCCCCGCCCGAATAAAAAGCAAAAACGATCAGGAGCATTTAAAAGTAAAAATACTGAACTGTCGACCGCATGGCAAGAAAGAAGTGATTATATCTTGAGAAATTCGTGATACTCAGGTGACCGTCAAATAACGGTATGTCCTAAGTCGATGATCTTAATTGTTATTACGAATTTTCTTTTTCATTTTGCTAAATTCAATTTTTTCAGGGACTTATATACTAAGTATATAGGTCCCTGATTTTTTCAAGAATTTCGTAGAATCTAAAATTCCTTACAAATTATCATAATTCTTCAGCTATACAGTATTTTGAAGTCTCAAGAACTTATTTTCTAGGCAGCAAAAGCGTTACTACAAAATAGTCAGGGACCTATACAACAGTACAATGCTATATACTAAGTATAGTATAGTATATATGTCCGTGATTTTTGATTTAACATTTTGGTTTAGGAAATGTCTAAATTATTGAAAAATTGATTTAAAATTTTTATTCCTTCTCTGCAAAATCTAGCAATGCCAAACCAGAAGAAACTCCTGTACGAATAATATTTTGCGCGAACTATTTACCATAGTGAAAAAAAATGAATAACCAAATAAATATAAAACTCTTCGACAGATATTTTTCTTATCAACAAGATTTGCCTTGCATTGTGTCTCTTTAAGCATATCTATTGATTAATTAATTTATTTAAAAATCCGACAGCCAAGTGATTCTCTGCTGAATATGTATACAAACAGTACTTCCGGTTGAAATGAATTCTTGAGAAAAACTTGGATCACAAAAAGAAAAGCTTTCAAAATGATGGAATTAAATCTCACACGGGTGGACTATGTACAGGTAAATTCAGTGTTAAGATGAAGGCTGGCAAATATCGATATGAAATGATTTTCTTGGTATTTCTATTGCTAGGTAGCGAAAAAAAGGAATGGGAGATGAGTCTTAGTAGCCTTGTTTTCGGACTCCGAAATCACAAAGACATTATTTATGTCTCTGGAAATCAGCATTGCCATAAAATAATCTATTGCGGTATATTGTAATTTATTCATTTTAGTGTAATGATATTGGGTCATTGTATAAATGTGCACTGATTTAAAGAAGGAATTTTTTTATTCTAGTAGATAATAATTAAGTTTCAAGTAGAAAAGCGTCGAAGAGCAGATACAGATTCAGTATTTTTTTTTTTTTTTTTTTGTAATATGCAGGAGAAACATTTTTAGATAACAATTAAAATGAGATTTTTAAATATTTTTTTTAATAATTTTCACAGGTTGGTGTCACCTCTTGTAAATCACTGCGGCTGCTCCCTCCCCAGGTTCCTGGAAAACCACAGAGGGTAATTTACATGACATAATCATGAAATATGAAGCAAAATTTCAGCATACATGTATAATATGATAAAACTATTTAAATGTATTGCGCAGTAACTTGGGTTTGTTTACTTTATTTATAATGTAGTACATGTATGTATCACTTTTTAAGTAAAAAAAAAAAACCAACCTAATATGTCGACAGTGCAACCATGGGGCCAAGCTCAGCTGTGTATCATTTTAAATTAATAGATTACTGGAATCCTATTTAGTTTTAAATAAGATCTGCCTCTTCAAACCACACAAGACAGATTGTGACATCACATGAAGCCAAAAGTTCATTGTATTCCCATATAAACAAAGTCTTTAAAAAGAGCAAATAGTGAACAAAAAGCATTTAATGTACTATTTATCTACAATTTCCATTTTAAGAATTTATTTGTGAACTTTTCTTTGGTTATCATGAGAATGTGAGCCAAAAAGCAGTAGCACACTTATGGGAAAACAGCCTATTTACATTGCATTGTGGATATTGAGGTTTACTGCAAAAAAATTCTATTTGCCTAGGTTTTGTACTAAGAACTTGCAGTGCAATGGACGCTTTGCACTGCTCACTGTGCTAGCTATTAATCATTACATGTTCAATCATGTACATGCATCACCTTTAATTGATTATTCTGATTAACATTCCAAATTCATTGATGTCCTCTACAAATTAAATCAGTATACCCGTATAATGTATCAATTTTTAATAATAAAACATTTCCCATTTAGTATGAAATATAATGAAAAAGATATTTATGACACCTGATTCTTTGTTTTAGTTTGTTATTGGTGACAATAATGGAGAGCTTCAGTGTCTGGGAATGAAGAAAGGGGAATCAGTTGTAAGATAACGTACCATTATCAGCAACCTTGTTAATAAACATTTATATGTTCAAGATAAAACTTGTTTTAATTTGTATTCAAAATTAATATAAAAATATCAGTTTCCTTTTTAATAAATATAAAAGTTATATTATCAAAATTATTTTAAAAATTTTTGTTTTTAAACTTTAGCCTGTGTTTAATGCCACCCTCAAAAAGAAAATAACAAGAGTTGAGCTAGGTGGACCTGTTGGAGGGACACGGGAAAGAATCTTTGCAACCTCAGGGTCAGAGGTTAAAGGTTTCACAAAGAAGGGAAAGAACTTCCTCACTTTTGACACAAGTTTGGCAGAACCAATTCAGACAATGTAAATGAGTGATTTATTTTAATAAAGTCATTGATTTTTCATTGTGCAAAGAAATGTCAAAACTTATTTTTATGATTGCAGATTGATTGTATGTTGCTGTATTGCTGTAAATATATTTTTTTTGAGCAACCAGTACTTTTATAGGTATGTGGAGGGAGCAGAGCTATTTACCTGTGGTAACTTTGTTTATAATCATTACCATGACTGCAAGGATGCTAATCACTTCCTGTCTGCTGATAATATCTGTGATGTGATCTGTTTACCAACCAACAAAGTCCCAGAGATCACACCAGTGCTGGCATGTCAGGACAGGGTGTTGAGGGTCTTACAGGTAAGTCATTTAACACCCCCCCCCCACCCCCCAACCCCCAGGGAACTGCAAAATTCCTCTCCCAGTATGGATTTGCATGAAGGGTGAAGGTGTTATCATGTATATTTCTTATAGACAAAGAAAATTCATAATTGTTCTGCAGACTTAAGGTTTGTTATTAGTTATTTTTCACTAAAAAAATGGGAATTCATTTTACAATTAGAATATAATTGATTTATTCACTTACGGAATTAAAATTACTCTTTTTTATCTTTTTAACCCTGAGATTAACTATATTGACTTGCGTATATCTACATTGTCATGAATGTATCATCAAAAAGATTTTGACATATTCAAAAATATATTATTTGCATTTCTCCTTGTTGAAAAATTGGTCCAACATACTGTATACATGGAAATTTTCGCCTCTGTTTTATTTTCGCCCCTTTTGCCTAAGACACAAGTGAGCAAATTTAAGACGGTAGAAATTCAAAGCAGAAGGTATAATTTCTTTGAAAACAGAGCTGTGACTGGGCAAATTTAAAAGGGGAAAAATTGTTTGCAAGTGTGAAAGGGCGAAAATAACCCGGTATACAGTATTATACTATTGAAAAGTGAGAAGTATCTATACAGTGCTTACACAATAGAACTAAGAAACATGTACTAGTTTTGTAAGCAATTAGAAAGAAAAATTAATTTTGTTTTTAAATTTATAAGTACCTGGTACCTGTGTACTTGATGATCTGATTTGGTTGTAGGACTCTGACTTGCTCTATGAAGTAGAGGTCCCTGGCCCACCCTCTGTGATGCAACTGTATGGCAACGATGGAGGTAAAGTAAAATCAGGATTAATTTTCTATAGCCTATATTTCCTTATCTGATGGGGAAACAGATGTGTGAATTAATTATTATTAAATTGAGATATGATATATTCAAGTCTCAAAACTGAAACTTACTGTATACATGTATGTTCAATGTACATATAAATTGATGGAAATGGAGTAAAAGATGTCATAAAAATGAGTCATCACAGAGAAAAATGTACATTTATGTCATTCTTGCAAGACATAATTAACCTGTTGCTTAAATTCTTATGAAAGATTGTGTTGGTGTGTGCGTGCAAAATAAAAAAAATCATATCAGGACAAGTTACCACACAAATTTTCATACAGATATGCACATTAATAGGAGAAATGTATACATTTGCATTTTTGAAACAAAATTTGTTTCTGAAAACTCATAAATGTGAAATGGTGCTGCTGTTATGCACATTTCTGTTATGTACTGTACCCATGTGTTTTATTTTGACCAGGAGATGAAGGAGATGAGATTTTATATGGGACCTCAGATGGAAGAGTTGGTCTGGTTCAGATTGGAAGGTAAACATTTTGTGTTTGTAGACTGCAGAATATAAATGTTGTTTCATAAGGATAACAGGATAAATATAGGATCTTACATGATTTATAGTTGGATATGATTTTTATCCAACAAGTTGTGTGTTATTTTATCCTCAAACCTTGGTGAGGGGATTAAAAAAACACACATCGAGTTGAATAAAAATCATATCTAACTATAAATCATGAGAGATTCTTTTTATCCCATGTTTTATACATCACTATCGATATTTTACACTGTTTTTATATAGGAGTGCACTTTATTTCATCACTTTCACGCAAAATCCTTTGGGATGTCACAGCATTGGGATATGAAAAAAGTATCCAATGAGTGATATCCATGGGATAAAGGGGTAAAAATGGGATAAGATATTATATTTGGTTAAGTTAATTGACTGCTTCACATCCCTTAGAGACTATTTTAGTCATATTGGGACATGAATCAATTTGGGAAATCATCACTTGCCAGTGAAGGATTTCAAAATTTGGACCTGTGCTTGGGGCTAAGGGCATTTGAGTAGTGAGGTCTTTTTACGTGCCACAAGTGATAACTGATGTGACATGAAACCTCAGTTTTTAGGGTCTATCTGACCTTCCTAATTAGTTGCCTCAATGTCCATGCAAGACAAAAATTAACTTGTAAAAAATAATTTTTTTCAGAATGGCTCCATCACATCGCTGGGAATTACCAAATGAGAAACGAAGTGGAGGTTTGTGTCAGCTTTTTAATTTTAGACAATAAAATGTTTTCTTTGTTAGTATTGGAATTTAATGTTGCAGCTGTTATGTGGGTTATTTAATTTTTTCTGCAATAGCTGCAACCATTAATTCCCGTACTAACAAACAAAGAAAGACATTTATTGTGTATATTTATGCCTGTATAAATAATAATTTAATTAGGTTTAAGTATGTTAAATATTATATTATAAATATGTACGTCATTGTACGTTTCATTGATTGAAAAGCACACTGCATAAGAAATCTGTGCAGATGGCTTGAGAAAAGGTTCTTATGGTGTTTACTGAGTGATGAAAGAAGTGGTTTTCATAAGAAATGAAAAATGAAATCTTCAGTGGATGTAAATATTATGTTTTTATTTTGAAAGGATATTAATTAAATGAGTATTTTTATACTTATTGATCCACAGGAGTGTTAGCTATTGACAGTTATGACATCACAGCTGATGGTGTCCTTGACCTAGTTGTGGGGAGAGATGATGGACTTGTGGAAGTCTACAGCTATGATGAATCTGATGAGCCTATATTCAGATTTAAACATGTAAGGAATTAATTGTCACTGTATCGATTCTTATATCATATTTATTTCATCAACATTTTCTTTTGCTATTTATTAATATTTAGATGTAACAAATAAGCCATCCTTGTTAGAAACTAGTAAGAGAAAATGAAAGTATCCATCTCAGAGAATTTTCAACACATTGCAGGAAAAGCTACAAAGCGTCATTTTTGACCAAAATGTTCTTCATACAAGATTTTTATTTCAGCAATTGAGTGAGAGTGTTACTTCAGTGCAAGGAGGAGTGATTGCTACACAAGGATTTGATGAGATTGTGTGTTCTACCTATGCAGGTAAGAAAGTAATGGGTACAATCCAACAGTTTTTTTTAATAGAAATAAAATTGATATTCCAGGGAAAAATTATTTGCATACACTCTTTCTTAAACCTCCCTAAGCTGTATTCATTTTTTTTAATTTCTTGAATTGATGGATATTTGATATATAAAATTTAATAAAGGATTATGTTCATGCAGTATGCAGTGTATTCTCAATATTGTTTTCCCAAAGAACATAAAGTTCTAATCAAAGTATCCATAAAAATGCTGATAATAAGTAATGCAGATCAATATCTTCTTTTGCTCACTCGGACATGTCAAATTTATTACACAGAACATTTTTCGTTTATTGACTTTATAATGACTGATTGTATCTGGATGATTGACTTTATAACTAATTGTAACTGGATGACTTTATAACTGATTATAACTGATGGATTGACTTTATAACTGATTGCAACTGGATGACTTAATAATTGATTGTAACTGGATGATTTTATAACTGATTGTAACTGGATGACTTTATTACTGATTGTAACTGGATGTTTGACTTTATAACTGATTGTAACTGGATGACTTTGTAACTAATGGTAACTGGATGTATGAGTTTATAACTGATTGTGACTGGATGTATGACTTTATAACTGATTGTAACTGGATGATTAACTTTATAACTGATTGTAACTGGATGTTTGACTTTATAACTGATTGTAACTGGATGACTTTTTAAGTGATTGTAACTGGATGACTTTATAACTGATTGTGACTGGATGATTGACTTTATAACTGATTGTAACTGGATGATGTTTGAATTTTATAACTGATATTAACTGGATGATTGTAACTGGATAATTGACTTTATAACTGATTGTAACTGGATGACTTTTTAAGTGATTGTAACAGGATGACTTTATAACTGATTGTGACTGGATGATTGACTTTATAACTGATTGTAACTGGATCATTGACTTTATAACTGATTGTAACTGGATGATTTTATAACTGATTGTAACTGGATGACTTTATAACTGATTGTAACTGGATGTTTGACTTTTTAACTGATTGTAACTGATGGATTGACTATACATGTATAACTAATTGTAACTAATGGATTGACTATATAACTGATTGTAACTGATGGATTGACTATATAACTAATTGTAACTGGATGATTTTAGGCTGGATCAGTACTCTGACATCTGAGCCCAATATCAAAGAATCCGGGCCAGATGTCTATCATCTCTCAGAGCATGGTCGCGAAAAAATAATCGGTCTTAGGTAACGTGGGTCTCACGGCTTGGCTGGCTTCTTGCACTGAGCTTGTGTCTCTCTTTCCTGTAAAGTCAATGCTCTAGACTGCCAGTAATTTTTATGTTTTTTGTGCTTTTTTTCCCTTAAATTTTTTACAGGTTAGAATAGAAGTGAATAAATATCTTTTTTTTTCCAAAAAGCATTTAAGCTATTTACATAACATGTACCTATGCTTATTGAAAAAAAATTAATTTTTATGGGTCTAGAGCAGAGCGGGTTGAATTTCCTCTTAATCTCCATGATTTACTAATTACAGCATTCCATTGGTCAAACCTGGAAATCTTTTTCTCAATTACATGCATATATACTCACCCCTACAATACCTGTGTGTGATGACATGTTTGCCTCCTACACCTAAATTGACCAAGTCTACATTTAACTCTGCTTTTCACCTAAATAATTGTTGCCACAAACTGACCAACAGGGATAATTCATTCAAAAGTACATGTATTAAATTCAAGTATCTATAAGGAAATTGGTTTTGATACTGTATGGAAAGACATTTAAAAAATGCACTGAATTTTGAACTTAATCTTGTCTGTTTAGTTTATGGTGGCAATTCTACAGAAGGTCAGTACAGGACAGGAACTGAGTTCACTGAATAATCAATATATTGGTTCATCAAATTTATGTTAAATTATTACTGAATATACATAGGCTTGGGCAATTTACACATATATTTTGGGCTCCTATCCAAATTCAAATATTCCTAAGATGTTTATAAGAGTTACAGTTCCTGTCATGTCTGAATGATTTTTCGAGAAACATCACACTATTTTATAACGCTGGTTAATGTGCACAGGTTGGGTGCTAGGGTTGACCTCAGAACAAATGTCCAAAGGACTTGGTTCCACTTCCGTTATTCCAGAAACTGCAGCAAAAGTCAAAATCAACACTCTCAAGTATGTACATGGCTTAAAATATGAGAAATCTGTGCATTCCTAGTTTTCAGTCTACAGGTAAGTAATCAACAGGCTCTCAAAATCATCAGAGCAGAGAAGTTTTATGGTAAAGGAGTTGTTTTTTTAATCCACTGGAGCACAATACACTGTACTTGTGTAACAGGTTAGGTGTAGCTGAATGTGTAATACAGTTTAAATTGATTTTGAAGAACTATAAATGTTACAGAAAATATTGTCTACTGTTAATGTACCCAACCTATCACTGCTGATAAATCCAGATTGAAATTTAGAAAGTTAATTGATTATATACATGATTTCAAGTACTTTTAACATCTCATTTATAGCCTTATAGGTATATTCATCTGACTGCTTATTTCAATTTGATAGAAATACATGGGTTATACTTCTTTTTAAAAAAACAACTGCCCATGACAATAAATTTGATACTTGAATTTTGCTTGAATGCTTATGTAGATTTTAGACAGTTGCTGTCATTTTTCAATTTACTGAAAATTACAGAGTATTTTGATGACTAACTAATTTCAGTTACCTTGACAATAATTATTACAGCATTTTACCTAGCTGTTAGGAATCAATATGTTGAACTTTTTGTTATTTAGAGGTGAACTAGAAGAACTAACACAGAAAGTGATATCAGAACGAGAGAAGTACCAGCAAACTGCAACCAGTAAAACGGCAATATCAGCTGTGCCTCAGTTTGACATCAATGACAAGTTTGTGTTAAATCGTGAAGATGCCAGCTACACACTCAGTCTGGAGTTACAGTTACCTATTGACAATGTTCTTCTACAGGTACTGTGTCTGTCATACCTGAAAGTTTCAGATTTTCCAAAATAAACTTCTGTAATCATTATTAAATTAGCAATTAGGTGTATGTATTTCCTTTATCATATAATATATGTACTATATTTTACTGGTGTTTGTTTTAGAGTGATGTTCCAATAGATCTTTTGGATGTGGAGAAAAATTCAGCTGTTGTCAGTTATAGTGCATGTAATCCAGAGGTTTGTACAGCTATCGTAATTAAGTTTTCAAAATGGACCTGAAAACAATTCTTATTTGTTTGCCAAGTTTTGATACTTTCTTTTGTACATGTTCTAAGAGCCTTGATCTTATATTGATATATTCAGTGATATTTCCCTTTGATATTTTGTCTTATGTTTATAAAACTGTTATAAACATCATTATTGCCTTTATAGGAAGGTAATTTTCTGTTGGCCACATATCGCTGTCAGGCAAACACTACACGCCTGGAACTGAAGATTCGCTCTATTGAGGGTCAATATGGGACACTACAGGCCTACATTACCCCCAGGGTACAACCTAAGACATGTCAAGTCAAACAGTACCAAATCAAACCTTTGTCCCTCCATCAGAGAACCCATGTGTTTGATGATACCAGGTCACTTGTTTTAATCATTTATTGAAATCTTTAATGACCATCATTAAGTTAATCCATCTGAAAACTGAATATTCTGTCTAAGGTGCTAATGTACCTTTGTTTTTACAATTGTATTTGGGAAGGGGATGGGGATATTTTATCTCATTTAGAGAGGATTTTAATTGCAATTTTATTTTATCACATAATTAAAGTTTTGATTCTTCATCATACTTTGTAAATATTTACTGTTTTACAGGCCTTTGAACACTATTAAGTTATCAGGACCGTTCAGTTTGGCAGAGGTTCATTCTTGGGTCTGCTTCTGTCTCCCTGAGTTACCAGAGAGAACACCACCTGGTGATTGTATCACGTTTCATTTTGTGTCAACATTCTTGGACACTCAGCTGGAATGTGTTTACAGGTGAGTTGTACTTGGCAAAGTAATTCGTATATTGATGTTATATATAATCAAGTTGTTAAATACAGTGAAACATGTTTACAGTGAACATGCTTAAACCAAATACCTGTGTATAATGAAGTCAAAGTTTGTCATCAAATTTATAATAATTAAATATCAACCTGGGTATAGACAGATTAACAGATGTAAGAGAGGAATTCTGGCCGTTCCTTGTGGTCAGTGTACTGGTGTCGTACTGTTCATTTGTAAAATAATTTAATTCAGTAAGATAGTTCACACTGTCTTACACAAAAACATTATACATGTACTAAGGTTGAATGTATATATTTTGATGTTTTTTTTAAAGGTTTTTAGGCTTTTCAAAATTGATTTTCATTTATGTAGTGTCCATCTATATTCATTAGTTTTAAATTATCATTGTAATTTTTCAATCTATAAATGTCCTAATTAAACAGTAAGTTTTTCAGTATTGATTAATTTTTGTCAACTTTTGTCAGGACTGGATTTGATGGGTTTGTATTTTATTCCTGCACACGTGTGTCTGTTTATGCACATTGGAGTTTTGGTTCCTTTAGATGTTATCTTGAGCCTTTGACCTTGACTACCGTTTCACTTTTGAACTCATGTTTGACCCAGATTCCTTTGTTTTAATTCCTTGATAAATTTTATTTTTATGTTCTATTTCTAATAAACCAGTTGCTAGAAAATGCCTTCATTCCAGTGATCCTTGTTTTGAATGGAAGAAATTAAGTATATTAAAAGTAGTTTCCATGCTAAAATTTTAAATTCAAGTGTGTTCACCTGAAAAAGCTATGTCCTTTGACTTGAATTGGTACATGTACAAGCAAAAATAACATTTTTCAAATTTAATTTTCATTTATTTCACAAAGTAAACATCTGTCATCATTGGTTACTTTGCAAACTCATATGCAGGCATACAACTACATGTACTTTCTATATATATTCTATATGGATTAATATATTAAAAATCTAACTTTTGCCCTGTAACACTGATAATGCTTGTCTATTATTTGTCACAAAAATCACTTATGACCCTGTCAATTCCTGTATCTTATCACTCGTATGAACATACTAATGCCTGTTTATCATCAGCTGGAGACTGCATGTAAGGAAACCCTGCATGGTGATGTGCAGGAACATAGAAACACAATTATCATACACAATATACATGTAATAAAAGCTTGCCAGGGATAAAGATGTATGGGCAGCTATTTTTGTACTGCATAACAATAATCTACTTAGCATACTGACATCAGCATGATTTATATCACACATGTAAAGGAAAGAAAAAACCCACATGTACTTAAAATTAATAATGTTTTACTTGACTTTTTCTCAAGAGAACAGCATTGTACATTGTATCTACACAGGGGTCATAATTTGTGTGTATCCTCTTTAAGATAAGAAGAAGAGTTAATTCCCCTCATGTAGAAGAGAGCTTTGATTTTTGCTTTGAGAAAATGTTGTGAAATTGAGCTTAAATAAAGTTCTCTCAAATGAAATAATTTGCAGTATACAGTGCCTTTTGATGAAGAACACAATTTACACACAGTGTATGTGTGAATTGAAACCTGTATTTTGTGGTAATTATTGTTGTTGTTTATGTTTTAGATATTTTCAGTATTCTTAGCACTGTGTGTATGTAAGAATGTTTTATATTTTTGGCAGTGGTAGCAATGCCAAGGTCACCAAGAAAGGTGAAGCTATATTTAGATCTGACAACATCTCTACAATCTCCATCCTTAAGGATGTACTGACCAAGGAGGCTACGAAAAAAAAGATCAGCCTCAATATCACCTATGGTAAGTTACTGGACTCACCTTGTGTAGAGAATGTCCTTAATGTGTCATATATGATATTAAATCAATAATATTTCAACCAATACTGTAGATTCCTTATTTTAAGCAAGTACTTAATGTAGCAAAATAACTTGTAGATGTCAAGAGAATATGAATTGGCAAGTGATCTCAAGTGAATAAGTTAATCTCAAGTTTTACATGTACATGTATTCCAGCAATGTAAAAATAAATGCTGGTTATGTTATTTTGTGAGTGGTGCTTCCAAGAAATTTTGTGATAATAAATGCCTCACATAAATTAAAGAATCAACAGTAATTATTGTCAGATTAGATCTGCATGGTTATATTGGCAATGAATATTAATAATTGAAATATTGATTGAAGAATTATACTGAAGTGAAATTTTACAGGACACAAAATACCATAGATCCCGTTTTTAGTGTAACTGTGTGCAAAATCGAAATCAATATTTCACTGCTTCCACATGAACCTACAATCTACAGTTGAACTTCGGTACCTCAAATATGAATATCGTAAATACCATGGATATGTCAAAGTGAGTTGGAAGTCCCAACCACTTTTTTCTTGATGTATTTTAACCTCAATATCTCAAATTCTCAAATATCTAGAAGTTTTTTCTTGGCCCAATCAAGTTTGAGAAAATGAGTTTTAACTGTATGTGGAATAAGTTACCATACTTGCAAAGGTTGCCCCATAAATAACTAGAACTTCAACAATATTTAGTAACACCTAACATTTTCTTCACAGAAATTAATGAAGACTCCATTCCATATACCCTGAATCTGATCCATCCCAAATTGGAATACCAACTTCTACTGGCCAAGAAAGTTCAGCTCATTGATGCTCTCAAAGTAAGGCAGAATAACTTCTCCTAATATTATATTTCGAGTTTCAATATTGCAAAAATTCTCTATGCTGTGTCTTCTGTATTTTTTTTTTAACAAATATTTCAAAATATTTATTTATTCTCTGAATAGATTTCTATCAGTGCTATTTCAGACCACTGTTATCCTAGTTCATGACAAGTTGTACACGTACCAGGTACATATGCTGTGTTTTCACAGGAACTGCAGGTTCACGAGAATGATACCAGCTTTATCTCCCCTGAATACAGACAGATTTTGGAAGATGCTGAGGAACTGCAAGCAGAATTCAAAAAACAGCCATGTCACCTAGAAAGACTATATGGTGGGTCTTACAGAAAATTATTCTGTTACAATGGAAAAGAATTATATTTTTGCAGCGAGTTTATCACTTTCATGATCTGTGATACATGTAAGTCCAAGAGTAAAGAAAGGATGAAATCATGAATAATGAATTTTATTAGCTCAGTTAGACAAAATTGGGGAGACTATATTTTTTTTCCTATGTAGCTTGTAACACAAGCTTTGATTGGTTACAAAGTTGGGTGTAAATTTCTGTACACCTGACTTGAGCCGGAGGTAAAAAACGTGACGTCACAATGCATAGTTTTTCTGCATTGTAGGGTGTAGTAAATCTTATCGATAGCTTGAAACACAGTTGATTGGACTTGTTTACAAAGAATTTATTTGGGTACATAGGAATAAATTCATTATCCAGGTCTAATCAAGGGTGAACAGGGATTTACCCCGGGTTGTATTCCATACACCCTTCAGCCTTTGGCCTCAGGGTGTATGGAATAAAACCCAGGGTACACCCTTGATTGGACCTGGATTACTAATAATACCCCCCACCCCCACCCCCCACCTCCCCAAGAATGTGTGGTTTGGTTTATGTAATTGAGATAGATAATTCTAAATTATGAGCCACTTTAAAAGTTTTTGTATTTCATACATTGTATATGAAAGTATGCATTTGTATGAGTAAATGTACCAGATGTGGAACTAAAGCCCTTTGATTATGCAATTAACATATGTATTTCATTAAACATTCACTTATTTATAGAACACTGCCTGATATATGAACTTTTTCATTATGAGCTGTATATAATGAGCTGTATATAATAAATCTTTAGATTAGATGTCTGTATTTCATATTATTTACATTTTTTTCAGGAATGATCACAGATTTGTATATAGATAAATTCAAGTTCAAAGGTCAAAATGTCAAGGGCAGAGTGCCAGCCTTATTGGAGGTCCTAGATAATTATGACTTACAAACACTAGTGCAATTTTTTGAAACTGGATGAGACTAAATGCATATATTTTATCCAGCATGTGGAAGATAATTATATGAAAGTGTTGTGAACTGCAGCTTATGATCAATGGGCTAAATTTTAGTGAATTCCGTCCATTTGTTTGTCCATTGTGATCTTTGTTGAACTGTGATATCTTTTTAACATGGTACAGCTGTGTGTGCAATCTGTAATAAATGTGGCTCTGATAAATTTCTTTGTATGATGTTATTAGGATAAATAAATGAATTTAATTAATTTAAATTTGAAATTCCAAAAATATTTCAAATAGAACTGCTGGGCATTGTAATGTAATGCAAAGTGATGCAATTGTTGCAAAATATTTTTCTTTTAATGAAAGTGAAGCAATTTTATTTCAATGTATTTTTAGTGTTTAATGAAATTTGATGTTGATACACACCCTAATGCAACCAAAGCAAAATAATTTCCAAATTCTTGTGCATGAGGCTGCTCTAACACCCCATCCCATCCCCTTTCTCAGCACAATGGCGACGCACACTACCGTTATTTCTCTTGACTTTAAACCAGACCTCAAATCAAGACAAAATTTTAGGGCACTGTAGACAAGACCTCATAGAAACTATCTGGAAAGTTTGATTGTCGTTGCCCTGTGTACCTAGAAATTATGAACTTTATTGGCAAGAACAAAAACTTTGGCAGTGCTGCACCCAAAATTTTTAAACTGATAAAGGGAAAACAATATGTATCTTTTATCTGTATCTCTTCACGCGTCATTAATGACTTTCAATTCTTTTTATACAATTCTTCAACTTGCTGGCAGGCATTCTTCTTCTGTTTTGCATGTGCAATTTATTTTGTTTAGATGTATTTTTAAAATTAAAAACAAAACAAAATGTGTTTTTGAAACACTGATGCCCCCATATGGCAGCTCATAGCAAAGGTTAAAGTTTCTCAAATGCAAGTCAAACTCCAAGATCAAGAGATCAAAAATGTTGGTACCCAAGGGAAGGTCTTGTCTCGAAGAATATACCTGTGAAACATGAAAGCCGTAGCACCAACCATTGAAAAGCTACTGCAAAGTTTTAAGTTTTTCAAAAGTAGATCAACATCAAGGTAAAGGTCAAATGGTCAAAATTAATGGTGCCGAAGGGAAGGTCTAATCACAAGAAATACACTCATAAAATATGAAAGCCCTAGCACCAACCATTCAAAAGTTATGGACAAGTTTAAAGTTTTTCAAAAGAAGGTCAAACTCCAAGGTCAAAGACAAAAGAGCACTTGGGAAGGTCTTTTCACGAGAAATACACATGTGAAGTATGAAAGCCTTCGCACCAATCATTCAAAAGTCATGGCTAAGGTTAAAAGATTGGTAAAATTTTGCAAAAGTGGGTCAAACCTCAAGGTCAAATATGTTGGTACCCAAAGAAAGGTCTTGTTACAAGTAATACACATATGAAATATGAAAGCTATAGCTCCAACCAATCAAAAGTTATGGGCAAGATTAAAAGTTTTTGCGGACAAACAAACAGACAGGGTAAAACTATATGCCCCCGAATTTTCGGTTACTGGGGCATTAAATACGATTTTCGGTATTAAATAGCATTCAATGCTATCGTTCTTCGTTATTCTTATTGGGTCATCTTTGAAAAATTATTTGTTTGCCCTCTCCCGACCGACTGACTAAAAATGGGCCGGCTCAAAACCTTTTTAACCTCGAGGAATAATTTTTTTTGTATTCATTCCGAAGTTTTGTCGTCCCATTATTGACCATTTTAACTTTAAATTCGCAAGCGTTTTTGTCCTTGAATCCTGAGTCGGGAGAGGGCAAGCAAACATTTTTGTTGTTATTAAAAATGGCCTTATATTGTATATACATGCATGCATGTATTTATGATGGTTGCAATTAGTTCAAGGCAAACAGATGCTATTTTAATCTTACCTGTTCTTTCCAGATATGCAACTCAGGATCCACCCCCGGTCTTGCAAGACTTAGTTTTACATATCTCAGCAGGCTCGCCTCTGCATTTCTTGTATATTTTATTTACAATAAACTACTTTTTTCAAAACATTCAGAATATTTAACATCTCGAATAAGAGATGTGTAAAAAAAAAAAATTCAACATGTTTATTTAATAAATTTTATTATACACCAATTCTGTCTTCTAAAACTATTTTCATCTCTACACAACTTTTTATTAGCTCACCTGAGCTGAAAGCTCCGTGTCCGTCGTCTGTCCGTCTCTCCGTCCGTCCGTCTGTAAACTTCACATTTTCAACTTCTTCTCAAGAACCACTGGGCCAATTTTAACCAAACTTGGTCCAAAGTATCCTTGGGTGAAGGGGAGTTTAAATTGTTAAAATAAAGGGCCAAGTCCCCTAACAAGGGGAGATAATCAAGAAAAGACAAGAATAGGGTGGGGTCATTAAAAAATCTTCTTCTCAAGAACCACTGGGCCAGAAAAGCTGAAACTTATGTGGAAGCATCCTGGGGTAGTGTAGATTCTAAATTGTTCAAATCATGACCCCCAGGGGTAGGGCGGGACCACAATAGATATTACAAGGGGGGAAATCTGGTAAAGAACAGCATAGCCAAAGTTACTCAGGTGAGCGATGTGGCCCATGGGCCTCTTGTAACAATACCTGTCTCCCTAAACCTTCTTTTTGCTTTCTTACCTTACAGGGAAAAGGGGATCGCGAGTTCAATCGTGCTAAATGTAAAATTGTTTATTATTATTTTTAAATCTTATACGATTATTATTATTAATCAAGCTCACGTGAAATAATACAAAAAAATAGAGACCAGGCTGCATGTTTAGTTGATATTGAAAACGTGAAAACCAAGGATGGTTCATGTAGCGATTCCTATCCGGAAAGAATAGGTAAAATTGAATAAAACATCGGTTTGAATAAATTTAGATGTATTTATAAATTAAATTCAATGCATTATATGTAAGAAAGAAAGATGACAAGGAATTGGTGCAATGATATGTTATACCAAATTTCGATATTTTTCCCAAGATTAAATATTTGAAGTAAAATTTAAATAAATTTCACAGTACAAAATAGGACAGAATACGTAGCACAAAAATATCTTATGACATCACAAGAATCAGATGCCATTGATGGTATGTGAAGAAATTCCAAATAAAAGGTACACTTTGTTTCTCCGTTTAACTGTACACAAATTTTGTCCGCTACCGAACTTGTTCTTCTTGCCGATAAAGTTTACAATTTTTTGGTACGTGGGGCAATTACAATCAAACTTTCCAGAAAGTTTCTTTAGAGTTTTGTCTACAATACCTTTGAATTTTTTTGTCGATTCGAAGTCTGGTTTGAAGGTTAGAAAAATACTCTACGTCGCTGTTTTGCTTTGAAAATTTGGGGATTGAAGATGTGTAAGGTACCTAGGAAAATAATTATTACAAAAAACTAAATTAATATAAATCTAAATTTAAAAAAATCTGAACATTTACAATAATTCTTGATAAAGAAAGGGGAAATGACTAAATATGTGAGGCTGACATTATGTTCATGCACAGTTACTGTACAACTTTTTGCGATGATTGTAAAGTCGGATGTCCACCGTGTTATCACTGCAAACTCAACATCGCTAATAAATGGCTACCAATCTTCTTTAAACTTAAATATCTCATCGAATATTCATTTTAGCTCACCTGAGCTGAAAGCTCAAGTGAGCTTGTCTGATCACATTTTGTCTGTAGTCCGTCTGTCCGTCCGTCTGTCTGTAAACTTTTCACATTTTCGACTTCTTCTCCAGAACCACTGGGCCAATTTCAACCAAACTTGCCACAAAGCATCCTTGGGTGAAGGGGATTCAAGTTTGTTCAAATGAAGGGCCACGCCCTCTTTCAAAGGGAGATAATAAAGAATTAGTGAAAAATTAATAGCATCTTTTAAAAATCTTCTTCTCAAGAACCACAGGGCCAGGAAAGATGAAACTCATGTGGAAGCATCCTCAGGTAGTGTAGATTCAAATTTGTTCAAATCATGACCCCTGGGGGTAGGGCGGGGCCACAATTGAGGATCAAAGTTTTACATTGAAATATATAGGAAAAATCTTTAAAAATCTTCTTCTCAAGAACAGCAAAGCCATGATGAGTCATTTATATGGAAGCATCCTCAGATAGTGTAGATTCAAGTTTGATCAAATCATGACCCCGGGGGGTAGGGTGGGGCCCAATGGGGGATCAAAAGTTTTACATAAGAATATATAGAAAAAATATTTCTTCTCAAGAACAGAAAAGCTATGTTTAGTCATATTGATATGGAAGCATCCTCAGGTAGTGTAGATTCAATTTTGTTCAAATGATGACCCCTTGGATAGGGAGGAGCCACAATTGGGGATCAAATTTTGACAAAGGAATATATGGGAATTTTTTTTTAAAAATCTTCTCAAGTACAACAAAGTTGTTATATTGACATGGAAGCATCATCAGGTAGTTTAAAATTCAAGCCCCCCCCCCCCCCCCCGGTAATCTTTTCAATACTGAACTGATTTGTGCTTTTGCCTAGCCAATGTGCTCAGGTGAGCGATGTGGCCCATGGGCCTCTTGTTATTGTAGGAAAGGTACATTTTTGGGTGAGTGTAATCTTTCTACGATAATCTGAAAATTCGGGGGATCTTGCGACGAAATTCTTCGAAACTGCTTGAAACATGTACTACCCCTTCCCCCAGATTCATTACTTTGAATCTCCATGCAGATGTAAGATTTTGAAAAAGTTCACATGTGTTTTTTCCCCCATTTTTTTTTCATGGATAACAACATTTTAATAACACAATATACATAGTGAACAGATGCGAAAAAGAAGAAAACACATCACTATTTTTTGTATATATGTTTATATTTTAGGGATGATTGATTTAAAAAAAATAATGCAAAGAGTAATTCAAATTAAAAAAAAAACATTCTGAGAGTATTGCATTAGCAATACTAGCCCCCTACCGGCAAGTGTAATCTGGTTCCCGTTAAGAATTGAAAATGCCATAATTCCGTCAAAAATTAATGAAGTGGGACGAAATGCAAACTTGATCTATAACTAATCAAGGTAAAGTCACATACCAAAAATCAGCTCAATATCTTCAAGCGTTTAGAAGAAAATTGCGGAAAACCCTTAAAAATTGAAAAGGCCGTAATTCCGTCAAAAATCAATGAAGCGGAACGAAATGCAAACTTGATCTGTAACTCATCAAGATACACTCACACACCAAAAATCAGCTCAATATCTGCAAGCGTTTAAGAAAAAGTGCGGAAAACCAAGATGGGACAGACTGACAGACAGACAGAGGGACAGACAGACAGACAGCTAGACAGACGGACAGACAGACGGACGGACAGACTCAGAGGAAACCTATAGTCCCCTCCGGTTTCACCGGTAGGGGACAAAAAAAACAGGAACATATATTTAAAACATTTCACAGTCCTTTCTTCGCTTAATACAACAACTGAAGAACAACTTCCTGAGCCTTTTCTTCATAGTTTGGAAAAATGTTCTATGTGTCACCTGAAAATAACAAGCATTCTGAAAGTATTGCATTAGCAATTCCTAGTCCCCTACCGGCAAGTGTAATCTGGTTCCCATTAAAAATTAGAAATGCTGTAATTCCGTCAAAAAGTCATTGAAGCGGGACATAATGCAAACTTGATCTGTAACTCATCAAGATACACTTACATACCAAAAATCAGCTCAATATCTGCAAGCGTTTAGAAAAAAAGTGCGGAAAACCCTTAAAAATTAAAAAAGACCGTAATTCCCTCAAACATCAATGAAGCGGAACGAAATTCAAACTTGATCTGTTACTCATTAATATACACTTACACACCAAATATCAGCTCAGTATCTGCAAGTATTTAGAAAAAAAGTGCTGAAAACCAAGATGGGACAGACTGACAGACAGACAGAGGGACAGACAGACAGACGGACGGATAGACAGCTAGACAGACAGACGGACGGACAGACTCGGAGGAAACCTATAGTCCCCTCCGGTTTCACCGGTAGGGGACTAAAAAGGGAATAAAAGTTAGGAGAGAAATTACAGGGAAAAAATTAAATGATTTTGATTTAAACATATTTTATTGAAACACAATCAATGGGATTGGGCACAAGTTATTCCAACTTCGATTGTCCTCTCCAACACAAACAAAATGACAAAAACAGATACACGTGATGTACAACCAACAAATGAAAGAAAGGAAAAAAAGGTGCAGAGAAATTAGAAAGGAATGGAATAGGAGTGCAAGGAGAGAAGGAAGGGGTTGTAACAGATTCAAAATAGTTACGCTGGTTATTCATAAAAATCTTTTGGATTTTTTTATATACTTATGTACGGCTTTAACAATGTTGATACTATTTTGTTGACCCAAATTTGGGTCCCGAAATAGAATTATGTCCAGATTTATTGCTCCTTTGTTATTTTTTATGGTGTGAAATAATTCTGTTCTTATTTCAGCATAATTTTTACAGTACAGGAAGAAGTGTTCAGTGTTTTCATTGATATATCCACAAGAACACCGAGTGTTATCTGAAAGCCTAACCTTAATTTAAATCTGACTTAAGGATGCTTACATTGTGTCTCATTCTAGTTAAAATTGAGTTGTTTTTTTTATCACCATAAGAAAAATAATTTGGGGGAGATTCACCTTTAAAAAGTCTTTTTTTGAAAGCATTTACAGTATCGAGGTTTCTAATCTCTGTAGGCAAGCATTCCATACTGTTATTAGTCCCCTACCGGTGAAACCGGAGGGGACTATAGGTTTCCTCTGAGTCTGTCCGTCCTTCTGTCTGTCTGTCTGTCTGTCCGTCTGTCCCTCTGTCTGTCTGTCAGTCTGTCCCACTTGGTTTTCCGCACTTTTCCTCTAAACGCTTGCAGATATTGAGCTGATTTTTGGTATGTAAGTGTATCTTGATGATTTACAGATCAAGTTTGCATTTCGTTCCGCTTCATTGATTTTTGACGGAATTACGGCCTTTTCAATTTTTAAGGGTTTTCCGCAATTTTCTTCTAAACGCTTTCAGATATTGAGCTGATTTTTGGTATGTGACTTTACCTTGATTAGTTATAGATCAAGTTTGCATTTCGTCCCGCTTCATTGATTTTTGACGGAATTATGGCATTTTCAATTTTTAACGGGAACCAGATTACACTTGCCGGTAGGGGACTAGTATTGCTAATGCAATACTCTCAGAATGCTTGTTGTAGATGGAAAGAATGAATTTTTTAGTAGGTTTGTTCTATATTGGGGAATAGCAATATTATTACAATTACGTAAATCATAATGGGTAGTTTGTGAGACATCAGGAGGTAATAGATTTAACAAATATTCTGGAGCGAGACCATGTTTTATTTTAAACATTAAACATAGTTTTCGCTTTTCTCGTCTATAGGCAAGTGTTTCCCATCCTGTTTCGAAATATAGAGACTTGCGAGGAGTGTAAATAGGAAGGCCAGTGACAATACGTGCAGCTTCTAATTGTAACTTCTCCAGCCTATTACAGTCAACTGCGGAAATATTATCCCATACTTCTGATGCATATTCAAATAGGGGTCTAATAAATGTAATATATATCGTAGTTAAAAAATCACGATTCAATGTTAATTTTAATTTACGAAGAACTGCAATTTCTTTTGAAGTCTTTTTTTAAAATAATGTTATCGATATGATTTGTCCATTTGCCAGAATTTGAAAACGTAAGTCCAGGATGGGATTATTTCTTGATTGTCAAACTTAAAACGTAAATTGGATAATTCATCTTCTCTTCAACCAAATATTAATATTTTGGTCTTATCAGGATTAAATTTTACAAGCCAGTTTTTTGACAATTCATTAATTTTTTTCTAAATCATAGTTAGTAAATCTTTCTAAGTCCTGCAAGTTTTTAGAGGTGTATCATCTGCAAATAGTCTAGAGAGACCCGAGAGTCCACATGGCAGATCATTTATATAAACTAAAAAAAGTAAAGGCCCAAGAACAGAACCCTGGGGAACTCCTGCTTTGGTTCTTCCCACTGAAGAACTTGGTGATTTTATTTTGACCTGTTGTGATCGACAAGTAAGATAATTATTTAACCACGCAAGAATCTCTCCCACAAACCCATATTTTTCCAATTTATATTTTAAAACTTTCAACCAAACTGTGTCAAATGCCTTACTAATATCACAAAAGGCAAAGCACGTGACTTCTTTATTGTCTAAAGCAATACAGATATTATGATAAATTTCTATTAATTGGGTAACCGTTGAATGGTTACGCATAAATCCAGCTTGTAGGTTATATAACAGTTTATGTGATAATAAATGATTATAAATGTATTTAAACATTACTCTTTCAAAAATTTTCCCAATACAACTCAATAAGGAAATTGGTCTGTAATTGGATGGGTTTGATTTCTCACCCTTTTTAAAGACAGGAACTACACTAGCATGTTTCCAAACACATGGAAATTTCCCAGTTCTCAGAGATTTATTAAACATAATTTCTAGCGGGATTGCAATTTCATTTCTTATTTCTTTTATCGAAATATGACTGAAATTGTCGGGACCGGAGGCTTTTTTAGAATCTAAAATTTCGATAATATCGATAATTTCATTTTCGTTTATTGTTACATTTTCAAGTTTAGCCTCTGTCCTTGATTCGAATTCGGAAAGGTCTTTATCTATGTTGTCATTAGAAGAAACTTTACAAAAATAAGCATTCAGTAATTCACATTTTCCTTCGTCTGTAAATACATAGGCATTATCTTCTAGATTTTTTAGTGGAGGAACCGAATGTGATGGCTTAGAATCTTTCAATAATCTGCGAACTATCTGCCAATAAGTTTTTGAGTTTGTGCAATTCAAATGATTCAACGGTATTTTTCTTTATCTTTCTCTTTTTTAGATTTTCTGTAAGCTTTTCTATATTTTTCGCGCAAGTTTATTTCTTTCCGAATTTCAGAATTAAACCAAGATTTATCGTCCGGTCTTACTACTACATCTTTTTGTGGGATATGTTCATTCACCAATTCTGAAAGTTTTTCGTTAAACTTTACTACATCGACGTCAACATCTTCGCCATTTAAAATTTCACCCCAATTCGTTTCACTCATTTCATTTCTAAATTGGTCAAAATTTGCATTTTTGTACAGGAAAATCTTTCGGACATACGTATTTTGGATCGCTGTATCAAGTTTGAGTATTATATAGGTTGCTTTGTGATCACTTATAGATTTATCTATATCGATAGTTCCTCATTCAAGGCAATCAAGGGTATCTGTAATAAGTATGGGGTCAATACAAGTTGATGCCATATTTGTCACTGTTGTTGGCTCGGTAATGTAGTTTGTAAAGTTATATGTCATAACTATATCATTTACATGGGTTGGAAGCTTTTTACTGAAATCTATATTCCAATCCCCATTTAATACTAGATTATTAGATTCATCTAAAGCTCTTCCAATAGAAATTTCTAGTCTGTTCCAGAATTCAACTTTTGATGTTTCAGGTCTATTTCTACCCAAATTGTTTCGTCAATCGCATTTTCGAGATTAAATTTTTCAAACAGATAGATTAAGATATTTCAGTTTAAGAAACTGGCTAAAAGTCTGGCTAAGATTGTTGTTTTAATTATTTATTTTTTTTTTATATTGGTAAGGGGGGGGGGGGGATATAAAATTGTGAGAGACATGCAGCATCGCTTCGAATATTTAGGAGGTGTTCGATAGATCACAGTCTCTGCTTTTCGAATTCTGTACGATATTTGCGATACACTTAAGACGGCCTGATATTACACTTCATGAAGTGAAAATTAAAAAGATCTTCAAAGTTATTTGAGCGCTTATTTTTGACTTAATCTAATACATATGCCTGACTGCTGATCGGATATTTATGACAGATCTATTTCATGCATTCCCCATTTAACCACACAAATCCTTCCAAGTTTGTAAACATTGTCCTCATATTAGAATACATGACATACACCTCGAATCATACCTCGACAAACCGTGCAGATTGACCAACAAGAGCATTTCTAGTCATTATCGATGCTGGACAAATATGGTTCGATACTGGAACAAAAGTGTCTTACGATGGACAAATGCTGTATCACCAAACTATCAGTTGATTTGGACTTCGGTCTGTGACAGTAGTGAAAAATGTTATTCCGATAGACATATTATATCATTCTCAGGAGCAAAATAAATAAGTTAACGATTTACACAATATTGTACATACATAATTATAGACCGTGAGGGAAAATGTAAGATTTATAGGTCCAAAGGGCCGGGTGTAAAGTACTTGTCTTTTTTGTATTTAAGTATTTCATGATGTATTACACAAGTCACTATAATAAATAAATAAATAAATAAATAAATAAATAAATAAATAAATAAATAAATAAATAAAATAAATAAATAATACACGTAGTCTGAAATTACCTGACACATCTCATGGTCCTCCACCATAACATACCACTGTTTATCGAATTTCAGTATTTGCAACTTATCCTCTGTTTTCTAAAATATAAAAAAAAAAGTTTCAACGCACAGCTAAGGAAATGAACAAAGTATGTTCTAAAATTGAATAGATACCCCCTTCTCCTCAGTCTCTGGTATATTTTCAGTGAAACAAAATTTTAGAGCTTGATTACTCTGAACAAAATCGATTACTTTAATTTTGGAGTTAAATATGCGTTCTAAATTTCAGCTCAAACTAAAACGATAATTATGTTTCTATAAAAATCATAGAAAATCTTACCAAAATCTTCCTGCCTTTTCCTTCACTACAATGTTTGTTGACAACTGAGAACGTATGACAGCTCACTTTTGTGACGTCATCAATATTGTGACGTTATGTATCTCATTGAAATCATAACTTTCCATGCAGAGCATATTACTGCAGAAACCATACGAAATGCACTCTATTATTGCATAAATGATGGTATGTACACTTTAGTACGGGTAATTCAATTTTTAGCGTAATAATAATTGACTTCAGTTCACGCCAAAACTTATCCAAAGCAAAATTGCTGAGCGTGAGGTAGATCTAATCCCCCCTTTCTAAGCGCAACGGCGACATAACAGTAGAAGATTTCTCAAAATTTTAAATCAGATCTCGGATCTATAAATTTTTTTACTATACTGTAGTCAAGACCCCATAGAAACATTCTGGAACGTTTAGTAGTCATTGCTCCATGTACCTAGAAATGATGAATTTTATAGGCAAAAACAACAACTTCAACAGTGCCCATTTGCGTTACAGATATAGGGATAAACAAAATAGACCTTCTATCTAAAATTTCTGTACATGTCATCAATGGCTTTTCATTTCTTTGATAGGATCCCTCATTTTGCTACCAGACATTCTTCATCTATTTTGCATGTGGAATTCATTTTAATTTTATCTATAATTAGTTTATGTTAAACAAAAAAAAAAAATATAAAAATTTGGTATTGACGGTCCATGCTTTCATTGACACGTTTTTCTTCTTGCATCGCATATGTGTGAATGTAATTTATTATGATCGCAATTATTTATCGCGCGAGCAGTTGCTTCTTTTAATATTATCTCCATCACCCCTACTAATGTTATTGTGATTTAAATGCAAGACACGTGGTGTAGATTGACCCATTCTAAGGTTATAGGGAAGAACCGGTTTTATAGATAAAATTGGCAGTATTAAAACAGGAAATTGCTATAATCTGTTTCTTTTAAAAACATGTCCTATAAAAATGCGTTTCCAGAATTTTCTGAAAGATTTTCAAGATTTTAAACAGAAATGAGTGGGGTTTAAAAAAAATCACTATCTACTTAATTAATCTTCGCTTTTTTTGATAATTTACGGCGAAATTTGGAGCTTTACGGGTAATGTCGCATGTAAAGGACTTAGGGTGAGCTTATCTCACTAAACAAGTACTGCTAAGCATTATTGAAAAGCGTCTTTGATTGTTCTACAAAGTCATCGGCGTTTTGTTAGAGTCTTAAAATTCTCACTCATCAGTCAAACAGGAAAGTTTTTTTTCACTGTTTTGCCTAATAATAAAAATTGACCAAGTATGTTTTAATTAGACAGTACATCAAGCATTACAATGCAATGTATTGTACACATAGGGCAGTTATATTTTTATTTAAAAGCAAAATTAATTGGCTTGCAATTAAAGACTTCATTCGACACTCCAATTTTCCTCGGGATGTTTCGCATATAACAATTCAGTCTTTCAATAAAAAAAAAAAATCAGCAAAAGTAACTGTTCTTTGATGAGAACTTAGCACTAAGTACTGTTATCAGAATATATTCTGTTTATCCTTCCTGGTGCTTATCTGCATCACTCTCAAAATTTACACTCATCAGTCAAACACGAGATTTCTCTCTTTTTCAATCTTTCATATACCCAAACTAGGCGTTGCATAGAATAATATACAGCAATGAAAAAAACTGTCAAAAAATCATTCGATATTATTACTGCATTGTTAATTTAGATTCATATGAAAGAGAACAATCATATAAGAAAATGTGAATGAAAATATTCCATCCAGTCTGTTTTTCAAAACTTTTTTAAAAATAAAAATATATTACAAAATATGTTAATTTACACCTTATTTTCAATACTGTAATGTAAAACAAAAATGGACTTCATTTTATTGATTGACATTGCATTGTAGTGAAGTACAATAAAATGCAGTTAAATTCTTATTATGGTAAACAGTATAAATTCTCTTGCAAACAAAAAAAATCCACTCATCAGTCAAAAAAGAGTGTTCATTTTCTTTGGATCTTTTGCGCATACCCAAACTAGTCATTTGATAAAAAAAAAAAAACAAAAACCCAGCAACACTTAACTTTGCGAAAGTCTTCGACTTAATTACTGATTGTTAATTTTGATTCATATCAAAGAAAACAAATATTTAAGAATATGAGAATAAAAGAAATGCTCTCTAGTCTGTTTTTGAAACCTTTTTTTCAAAGCATAAAATGAAAAAAAGTGTGTATTCAATCAGTTTTTAAATTCAATTAAGAAAAAAAAAAAAGACTAACTTAAAGTTAATTTTGATTGGACAATTTGGCAGGCATCACAATGTATCGCATTGTATTGCAGCAGAGTGCAGTATGGTGCAATTCTACTTGTATTTAAACAAGCACAATTATTTTACTTGTCAATGTATTAGAAATATACCCCACCATCCACCCTCCAAAGACAGCTTTTATATACAATTTGTCCATGTGATTGAATGTTTATTTGGAAATTTGCATAATGTAAGTTTTGTTTCAAAGTTCGATAACTCAAATTATGTCCCTTTGAACAACGTAGACAAAACGATCATTGAATTCTGCTTTATATTATGTAAATATTTAAGCAATGCTAACGAGTAACAAGCTTGTATACTATATATAAGACGTTAGACAGACATTCACAAATGACCATGTGTTAAAGTCAGAGTAAATAACGGTTACGGGTAATGTCGCGTGTAAAGGACTTAGGGTGAGCTTATCTCACTAAACAAGTACTGCTAAGCATTATTGAAAAGCGTCTTTGATTGTTCTTCAAAGTCATCGGCGCTTTGTTTGAGTCTCACTCATCAGTCAAACAGGAAAGTTTTTTTTTCACTGTTTTGCCTAATAATAAAAATTGACCAAGTATGTTTTAATTAGACAGTACATCAAACATTACAATGCAATGTATTGTACATGTAGGACAATTATATTTTTATTGAAAGCCAAATTAATTGGCTTGCAATTAAAGGACTTCACTCGACACTCCAATTTTCCTCGGGATGTTTCGCATATATCCATATCAGTCTTTCAATAAAAAAAAAATCAGCAAAAGTAACTGTTCTTTGATGAGAACTTAGCACTAAGTACTGTTGTCAGAATATATTCTGTTTATCCTTCCTGGTGCTTATCTGCATCACTCTCAAAATTTACACTCATCAGTCAAACACAAGATTTCTCTCTTTTTCAATCTTTCATATACCCAAACTAGGCGTTGCATAAAATAATACACAACAATGAAAAAATTTGTCGAAAAATCCTTCGACATTATTACTGCATTGTTAATTTAGATTCATATGAAAGAGAACATGTGAATGAAAATATTCCATCCAGTTTGTTTTTCAAAACTTTTTTAAAAATAAAATTATATTAGAAAATATGTTAATTTACACCTTATTTTCAATACTGTAATGTAAAACAAAAATGGACTTCATTTTATTGATTGACATTGCATTGTATTGAAGTACAATAAAATGCAGTTAAATTCTTATTATGGTAAACAGTAGAAATTCTCTTGCAAACAAAAAAAAAATCCACTCATCAGTGTTCTTTTTATTTGGATCTTTTTCGCATACCCAAACTAGTCATTCGATAAAAAAAAAAAAAGCAACACGTATCTTTGCGAAAGTCCTTCGACTTAATTATTGATTGTATATTTTGTATTTTTTCCTGAATACAATTCTTAGTTCATTCATACGATCTGTTACTATTGTTCTCTACACCTGTTTTACTACCTCGGTTCGTCCTTGATTTTCCTTTCAATATATAACAATGGTTACTAGGATAGCTACCCTCAATATCAATGGACTATTAAACGCCCCGTCTAAATTTGAACTTTTGTCACACTGTTTAAAAGAAAAAATCTCTATCGTAATGCTTCAGGAAACACATTTCACAAATATTAATAATCTACAAACAATTAAGTCAATGTTTAATACAAATAAATGTTATTTCAGTTTTGGTTCCAATAGAAGTAGAGGAGTAGGTATAATAATTTTAAATCAAGACATTACAGTTCATAAATTTCATTTAGACATGGAAGGCAGATTGATTTTTATAGACATTACATATAATGAAATTCAATATAGAATCTTTAATGTATACGCTCCAAATAATGAAAACGATAGAATAACATTTTTTGAAGATTTGTATCCTCTACTTCTATGTAATAAACATTTAACTTTAGGCGGAGACTTTAATTGCGTTTTAAATACTAAATTAGATAAAATCGGAGGAAATCCTAATTATGGCACTATAGGTAGTGAAATTTTAAGAAATATTATTAATGATTTTCAACTTGTAGATTGTTTCAGATATTTATATCCAAATGTAATTAAAACCACATGGCATTCTACAAATGTAGCTTGTAGATTGGACATATTCTATATGTCTAAAATGTTATCTAAAAATGATTTGATTTGAACATATTTTTTTGTAATAATACATACAAAAGGATTGGATACAAGTTCTTTCAACTTAATAAATCCTCTCCTTATTATACAAACAGTGAATGATTGTCATAATAAGTAAATTGAGATAATTTACGAAATTTTATGTTGTACATGTAATATATATGAAAATTATAAAGACACATACTCAGAGTAATCTACCAGAGCTCTAATGTTACATATACACTGATTACAATGTTTATTGAACAAGAAGCTTTCATATTTGATAAAACATTTAAAATTTTCATTCTGCATATACATATTGAAATCAAAGACACTGTTTTAAATT